AGCGCCAGTATGGGAGTTTAGTATCGGGGCCGATACTGGGCATTGTCACAAGAATTTGTACTCGTGAAAATGCGCAGTATTGGCACCGATTTTGATACCGGTATCTGTATTGGTGCATCCCTAGTAAGTATACCCAAAGTGTTCTGTCCTCCTCCCTGCTGAGACAAGGTGGGGGCGGAGATGAGAGGGCTGCCGCAGCTGCAGGGGAGGTGCAAGTGCCACATGAAATGGTCTGGTGGGCCGGATTCGGCTTATGGGCCTTGTGTTTGACACGTGATCTAGAGCAGGGACAGGAAACTAAAAATACCTCAAACCAGTGATTGAAGAGGAGCATATTGGCATCATTAAGGTGCACAAATACACATGAGAATTCATTCTAGTGCTAGAATAAATTAATGTTATAGCCACTAGAATTAATTTACTTCTAAATGCTTCTAAACACTATATGCACATATAAGCAAGTACTTTACATGCTGTTAAATGCATTTTTCCCACTGCATCTTTCTGCCAGTGTCTGGAAGCAAGATCAAGTTTCAGTTGGTGAGGGTGCTCTCCGCACACCTTACAGCAGTCCCGGCCAGTAAAAACAATGGTGCTTGTAGTAACTGCCACGGATGACACCGTGCAAAATACAATCTATTTAACTTATCTTGAGTGCTGGTGACCTGTCTTTCTACTTTGGAAGCAAGATCAAGCGATCCAGCAAATATATAAATATTTGTTACTGCCCATGTGAATGAGCCCCCTACTGTCACAAAGGTTTCATCTGGCAGGAAGTGAGGGGATATTTGCAGTAAAAAAAAAAAAGGTTTCTTTTACTGGGCATACAATGTAATGTTTTACAAGGGATTCATTTGGTGTTCTCTTTGGGGCATTTCATGGATAAGGTAGTTCAAATTGGAAATTCTTCCACAGCCAGTGCTCACTGTATAGGTCTGTAGGCTGCTTCTCCTACAACTGTGTATTTCCACCGTCATGTACCAGCTTGCTCAGTGAATCTTTTACACTTCCAGCAATATTCCACTTATAAGTGAAGTTCTCCGGTGTTCCATGACCTGGAATCCACATTAGCAGAATGTAGAAATAACTCCCCTAATTTTGAAGAAAAACTCTACTTTTGTTAAAACTGACCTGGCACTACAACGCAAGGTCCGCGTATACTTTTCGGGTGTAAAATGTACCTGCAAAGAGCGGAGTTAGATTTATATTTACTTTACCCCTGGTGTAATCTCACTGTCCTTCCGGGAAGATTCATGGGGAATGCAGAGAAGGCAAAATCTCACAACATCAGTCCAAGCGCCTCTTCTTGCGGGATTTCAGCTGCTCTGTATTCCCCCGGGATCTAGCCTAAAGCAATGTGACGCCATCCACGCTTTGCAGAGATAAGGCAAGTATAAATATAAATTTTTTTGATCACATGGTAAACATGGCACTGTCCCAAGTTTTTTGAGACGGGTTGCTGCCATCAATTTCAAAATTACTTTATGGTTTTTGTTAAAATGGTTATTTTTCTGAGTTTAAACATTTGAAACATTCTCTATTGTGAATAAAATATGGGTTTATGAGATTTGCAAATCTATGCATTCATTTTACGCAGCGTCCCAACTGTTTGGGAATTGGGGTCGTACGTCTTAGGGTCCCCACACACCTTACGATTATCGTACGATAATCGCGGGAAATCCCGCGATCGTACGATGATCGTAAGGTGTGTGGAAGCCGTGCGACCTCTACTACTGTAAGGTCGCACAACTTTAAACTTACGGACATGTTTGAAAACCCGCCGAGCATCGTACGATGTTCGGCGGGTTTGTGGCATGTCCGTACGATAACAGCCGCACGGGCCGGTGTGCGCAAGCTGCCCGTTCGGCATTGCGGTCATCGGAAGCCCGCCCCTCAGGGGGCGTGGCTTGCGATCATCGCAAGTACGATCTGCCTATGCAACATAGGCAGATCGTACGTTTTTTTAAGTACCTTACAACCATCGCAAGACAAAAGTCTTGCGATGGTTGTAAGGTGTGTGCCCAGCCTTAGATTCTTTCACCAGCTACCATCGATCTGTGCTCCCCCATTACCATCTTCTCAGATTCCTATGGGCCACCATCCTTTTTTTTGCCTTCACACATTGAGTGACCCTACCTGCATGCATATTGGAGTTGAATTATCTCAGCACCCTGAATCCTTTGCATCCAATAGATAAGTGAACACTGCCCACGCACATGAACTGCAGGCAGTATACATTTATTATTAGCAAACAAGTTGTTTTTTTGTTTGACAGGAGAGACATACAAAGTATTCTCTACAAAGAAAAATACCTTCTAGCACTTTAGTTGCAGACTTCAGTTCCACTTCAAGGTGTTACCAGGGGCTAAAGTTAAATTTGCACCTTACACATGCATTCAACTCGTGACTGTTCTCTTTTAAGATCTGTATTTAGCAACTCTAGGGTAGTGCTCGAGTGCTTTAAACCCTTCCCGACCGATGACAGGATTATCCCATCATGCGGTACAATGAGCGCTGGTCTGTGAAGGGATCGGGGCTCATGGAGTCCGAGGCAGACCCTCAACAGCAGATCGGGCGGTCACAGTGAGGGCTGATTGCTGTGACAGTCACACAGCCGGTAGCAGTTTACTGTGTTTTGCTAGCTGGCTGTGTGCAACAAACTGATGCAAAGCATCTCCAAACAAAGAATACTGTATTCTACTCAGAGATACTAAGGATCAAAGTCCCTGTAAATACAATTGGGAAAAAAAAACAGCTTACTGCATCAGTTTAAAAAAAAAAAAAAAAAAAAAAAAAAGTTTTTAAAATGTTCAAATAAAAATTAACAAAAAAAAAGTAAAATACATTTAATAAAAAAAAATAAGAAAATATAGTGCAGAGGAGGCTATTAAGGATAGGAGACCAACATACCACATTCTAAAATTGTATTTCTCTCCTTGTATTTTGTGACCCATTACTCCCCAAATAAACTGAAATCCCAGACATATGATATACCCTATAAATCAGGACAAAAATATAAGAATGTATTATGAAATACTGCGTTAACCACGCTAATTATAAGCACATTACCGAAACTGAAAAAAATTGTTATTTGCCCTTTCTTTGTATCTAGAATTTTTTAAAATATATTTACATGTCCCATCATCAACTTAAGCCCCAGTTTATCCTTTAAAAAAACAGTATATAATATGTGTAGGTGCAGTGAATGAGGAAGATGGAAATTATGGTTAAACACACTCCAAAAATGGTAAAATTGCTCCGATCCCCAGAAGCGAGAACATTTTCTGACGCTGTTTCACTAAGGGGTTAAAGGGTAACTCCGCTTTAGTTAATTGAACAAACCTTTAATTGCCGGTAATGATTTTAAAATATGGGCCACAAAAATTGAGTGGCGGTGTTCTGTACAGAACTGCCCTGTAAATATAATTTCCTGATCACCTAATTGTAGAACTGTTATTGCCAGCAGTTTATTAGAACACCGAGATTGGTCATGTGATTGTAGCATAGCCAGCAATTCAGGTGTGAGCTTCAGTATCACCAGCAGGTAGTACTGTGTAATATGGTTTGGTAAGATCCTAGTGTGACCCAAGGAGGGATTCATTATTTTTGTCAGCGTAGAGAATTAAAAAAACAAAACAGCTGCTTGACGTGTGCTCGCCAAATCCGATACTAGCAAGCAGGAATAAACAATGCCTGTGTGTGGGTCCATATACACTTGCAGAACAATTGAATACACAAACGATAGGCTTCAATTTTCTGGAAATCTGTACATTCCTGCATTCTAATGAGCTTGATTTCATAAGCATTGCTAAAACAAATGGTTTTAATTTGTTGCAAGTCAAAGCAGCAGTAAACAAAGTATATACGATACCAGTAAGCCGTCTCATGTATGTTTTCTCTTCTCTGGCAGCTGCAACGAATACAAAAAACAAGACCGGACCATGGCGGAGTTTAGATTTTATAACTTAAGATTCACCAGTGTGTACTGTAGATTCCCTGAGCAGTTACTCATATTTATCCTTGTAGCAGGATTTTCACTGCTGAGCTTCAATTAGACTGAAGAGTCATGAAAAGAGATCTTGCTGTCAATAAACAGACATTTTAGAAGCCTAAAGCTGCACCAGAGAAACCCAACTTGCCACACAGATTTTAGTAGTCAGGCCAAACTAATGACTAAAATGACCAGCAAGCCGCTCTGATCACTGCTTCACCCTTTCCAAGAGCTTTTAGTTCCACATTTTTGACAGGATTTTTTTTTTTTTTTAACTAAAGTACGGGTGGGTGGAGTCTATAGTTTTTCTGCACTGCCATTTTTCCAAAGATACTTTACACATTCCATCAAGTGCACAGGAAGATGTTTGACCAGGACTTTGACAAAGTAACATTGCCCCCCTTCTAGGATAATCACAGGGAGGGGAATTTATCAAAACAATGGCAACCAATCAGCTTCTCTTTCATTTTCAAACCTTAACAGAACAAACTGAAGAGAAGCTGATATGGTTGCTCTGGACAACTGCTCTAGGTTTTGATAAGTTCCCCCCAGGGTATGTTTAAAACTCTCTTACATAGTGCTCCCCCCACCCCAATGCTTGTTCCTTCATGGCAACTCCTCCCATGCGTGGACCTAGGGGCCAATCCATAGGACAAAACGTGGTCATGAAGGGTCATCACTGCTCCTGCTAGGCTAATGAGTCAGTGTATTTTTGCATGGATGTGATGGAGGAAGGAGCAGCAGGGGAGCACTGAACTAGAGTATAAGGTGGTTGGGGTGAGCTTTAAGATACCTGGTCACTTTGCATTGAATGAAGATGACAGGGTCTCAAGAAAGGGGACACACTTTAGTCTGGATTTACATCAGTACTTTAACCTGGATGTTCAGACATCCAGGTTGAACAGGTTTTAGAGGAGTAAATTTTGTTCAAAACATGATAG